CCTATGAACCCACAGCCTGCCCAGCTCTGTGCGAGTGCTACAATGGTTCCCGTGTTGGAGCCCATTGTTGCAGCCACTGTGTTAATCCGTCTTGTCGAAAATCTTCCATTTCCTCCACTGCCCTTCTACTATACTAAGCATGATGTCCCATTCCAGGTGCTGATCTGCTCTGATAACATGTTCAAAATATGTGAAATGAAATCTTGCCATCCTTTCTTCTCCTTCTCCTTCTCCTCCTCCTCCTCCTCCTCCTCCTCCTCCTTCTTCTTCTTCTTTTCCAATGACTGAACATTTCAACTAGATTTCTAAACAGAATGAGCCAACACAGCCACAGTTACTGCTGGTCTCCATGGCACAGCAACCCACAAGACACAGCACTGATCCACCCCAACCAGGGGAGAAAAATATACAACCTGGTTCTGAGCCAAAACCACAATGTGCCATCTTTGCTTCTAAAAAGCATTCTGGTGCATTTCTTCCAAGATTGATTTGTTTGTTCTTTTGGCAGTCCTTGATATTTTCAATATTCTTTGCCAGAACCATAATTCAAATGAATCAATTCTTCTCGTGTCTTCCTTATTAAATGTCCAACATTCATATGCATATGAGACAATTGAACATGAAAGTAATAATAATTTATAATTTATCAGGGGTCCACAAGGGTGGGAGGGTAGGGCAGAGAGGGACAAGAGGGTCTTATACCAAGGACTCAAGCAGAAGGAAAATGTTTTGAAAATGATGATGGCTATATATATATATATATATATATACACACACACACATATATGTATATATATGCTTAAAACAATTGATGTATGGATTGTTACAAGAGCTGTAAGAGACACAAATAAACTGATTTAATAATTTTTTTAAAAAGAAGAAAATATTAAGGTTTGGGTTGGGCACACATGCATCCTCATAGTAGCATCCTGGATTTTCAATCCCCAAAAGCAGTCCTGTGCAGCAGCTTTACCCATGCAACATGTCCTTTGGTTTCTTGCCCGCTGCTTCCATGGGCATAGATTGTGGATCCAAGCCAGGCAAAATACTTGACAGCTTGTCTTGTCTCCATTGATCACAATGTAACCTACTGATCCTGTTGTAAAGATTTTGATTTTCTTTACATTGAGTTGTAATCCACATTGAAGGGAGAAATTAATCATTGACCTTCATCAGCAAATGTTTCAAGTCCAAACCCATAACTGGATATATATCAAGAATAGTTTATGAGTCATATACATATACTCAGGAATTGTGTAAAGTTTTACAAGGCTGAAATAAAAAAATAACTAGTAATGTTAACAATGTGGGCTTACCTTATAGGTACAATTGTGCATTTCTTTATCCTAAGTACTTATATTCATTATAAAATATTACATGTGGATAATTGTATAGCTTACACACACAGAGTTATTTATTAATATGTTGTCGTAAGGAAAACCTTCAGATATCTGATGAGTAGCTAAGGAGTGCAGAGAGGCTTAGAGTGAACATTTGGAATTCAAATCTACACATCAACCAGTAACATTAATGATGAAGAAATTAAAATTGATCAAACATACAATTAAGATAATTATTGGAAATTGGAATTTGAAAGTTGGAGACAAAGAGGAAGAGACAGTAGTTGAAAAATATGTCCTTGGTAACAGAAATGAAGCTAGAGAACACAGGATAAAATTTTGCAAGGCCAATGAATTTTCTATTGCGGATATTTTTTTCAACAACATAAACAGCGATTATACATGTGGACCTTACCAAATGAAATATACAGGAATCAAATGGACCACATCTGTGAAAAAAAAGATAATAGATAAGCTCATGTCATCTGCCAAAATAAAGCCAGGGACTGACTGGGGAGCATACCATCAATTGCTCGTGTGTACATTCTGGTTGTAGTTAAAAAATATTAAAACAAGTTCATGTGAGGAAAAATATGTGCTTGACTGTATCCCACTTGAATTTAGAGACCATCTCAAGAATAGTTTTAACACATTGAACACTAATGTCAGAAGACCCGAGGAGCTTTGGTTGATATCAAAAGCATCATACATTAAGAAGTCAAAAGGTCATTAAGATGAGAGAAGAGATCAATGTAAATGTGAGAGAAAACTCTTGAGGCTTGCCAGTCAACACAGAGTAAAGTGAATTGAAGAAATGCTGATGTCAAGCACTGAACAGAACCTTGCAAAGGGAGCGCCAGGACAGATGGTTTTATGATGCATTCAAAGGCCTGGCGTTAGCATCCCAAAGTCAAGAACACAGTGTAGCTCAAGCTTAAAGAATTGAACAGAGAAAAATCAATCCTTGAGTTGAAACTGTGAAGGATTGTTTGGGGAAAATATTGAAAGGTACAGGAAGCATTAAAAATATGAAAGAAACACACAAAGCCTTTGTAACAAAAATATTAAGTCATTTTGATGGAGAGCAGATGATCAAGAATTGATGGTATGGAAGGAAAAAGCCCAAGCTACATTGAAAGGATCAACCAAAAACAAGACTCCAGGAATTTATAACATACTAATTGAAATATGTCAACAACTAATGCATCTCTAGAAGTTCTCACCAGTCTGCATTTATGCCCATTATTAAATAAAAGAGCTATTGAAAGTTATCACTAATGTCACATGCAGAACATGTTTGTTCAAGATAATTGAAAAAATGGTTGCAAAAATAACAGGAAGCTTCCAGAAATTCAAGGTGGATTCAGAAGAGGACTTAAAAATGTGGTACCATTATTGATGTCACATGGATATTGGCTAAAAGCAGATGATATCAGAAAGATGTTTACTTGTGTTGTGTTAACTATGTAAAGGAATTCTACTGTGTGTTTGGAACACACCCCAGATAGCATGGAAAAACATGGGAATTTCCCAACACTTCATTTTGCTCATATGTGACCTATCCACAGATCAAAAGGCAGTTGTTCAAACAGAACAAAAGACACAAACTTTAAAATCAGGAAAGGCATCTGTCAGTATACTGAGCAAAATCATAGGCTATTAGGGTTGCAGGAAGGTTTGTTAGCAATTCTTTACACGCAGATGAACCAACCTGGCTTGCTAGACACAAGAAAGATTTGAAAAACTTGACGAAATTAAAGCATATAGCTTTCAGTGGATAACAATTCAATATAAACAAACAAACAAACAAATCTCTCAACTGGACCAATGTAATGAAATTGTCCAGGATTTTATTTTACTTGGATCTGCAATCAACACTCACTGGAAATGGTCAATAAACCAAACGACTATATTGTCTTGTTCAAATATGTGGTGCAAGGCCTATTCAAGTTTTTATTTCCCAAAACAATTTTATTGGGAGTTAATACAGATATCATGTCAATCCATAGTTCAATCACATCGAGCATTATTGTAAGATTGCTACCACAATCAGTTTTGAAACATTCTTTTTTTGTCCTGAACCCCTTGACATCAGCTCCCTTTTTACCCTATTCCCACCACCTCTCTACTCCACCTCTCCCCGTCCCCCTCCCCTTATTTTACTTGATGTCCCTATAAGTTCATCATTCTTGGGTTTCAGACACTGCAAAACAGTAAAAACATATAACGAAAATTCAAGAGGGCAACCCCCAATAACAGAACATATCTGTGATACACTCAATAAGACACAAAAAAACAAAAAAAAACCCAAGATACAGAAATGTATTTGGGGAATCCCATTGTTATCCATAGCCTTCTGCAAAACTGGATTCTCACAATTTAGGCTCTGATACTATTCCCTCCTTTGATTTCAGATTACTGCATATACTCTTGTATAAACCGTTTTTCAGCACATTTTTAATGCCGTTTTTGTGGTAAAATTAGGTGCCTCGGCTGATAGCCGGGTCAGCTTATACTCGAGTATATACAATATATGATTTACAACCTTTTTGTGACTGATGGTGTTCTCCTTCCATGTGGACTGTTGAAAATAAAGATATCACTTTGAGGCCTAAGGTAAGCCTGAGCCACGCTGTGACGTGTTCACTCGCTTCTTGTGAGTCTGAAAGCTGGGCCGGGGACAAGGAACGCTTCAGGAGAAGGAATGTATTTGAATGATGGTTTTCACAAGAAGATTGAAGGTACCCTAGACGGCCCGAAGAACAAACAAATCTGTCTTGGAAGGCAGACAACCAGAATGCTCCTTGCAAATGAAGATGGTGCGACTTCAGATTCGGTACTTGGTACGAGTTATCAGCAGAACACAGACCCGGGAGGAGGACATGGCTTTCCCTGAGAAGGCTTCCCTCGGTGGCCACAATGGCCTGGCACACGATAGTACTCGTGAGAAGGGCTCAGGGGTAGGCAGTGTTGCATTCCTAGCGTTGCTATGTGTTAGGTACCAGGACTGACCCAATAATATCAACGTGCAGAATAAAGTCAGATTTCAAATATATGTATTTTAAATTAGGATGTCCAATACAAATTACCAAAAGAATGGAGACCCTCCCTATGGGACGTGCATAGCAACTTATCTTAAACAGCACTTGTGATCTGTGGTTGGCCATTGTATTTGATAACAACATGCAGGATTGATCACATGGATGGTTGCAATGAATCAGAATGAACTTGAAGAGTGGAAAAACCGTAGGTGGTCATAATGTATAAAATAAAAATAATCGTAATTTCCATTTCTATATGAGTAACCTACAAAACACATTTTTACATGGAACTGACCATAATCTAATGAAAGTTTTGAAGATTTGACATAGCCTTTCCAGGTTCATAGCCAAGTTTTGACTCTGATGAATTCTCAATGCAGGGGTAAAGAAAACCCAGAAGCCTCTTAATTTTTCTGAGTCTCAGTGTGGCTCGACAATGCAACAATGTCAAATACGGGAGGGAATGCCATTTATTATCTGTACTTAACGGCTCCAACTCTTTTCCTACCCAGGTGGCCTTTCAATCACAGTTTTATGCTTTCTAAATAGTGCGGTGTATAAGACAGGGCTCGGCAACACGTGCATGGTTTCAACTACTAACGCGAAGCCGTCTTTGCAGTGGGTGCACACTCTGCTGCGCATCTGCGCCATCATCAGCGTCATCTCCGTCTGTATGAACACGCCCATGACGTTTGAGCACTACCCCCCGCTGCAGTATGTGACTTTTACTTTGGACACTCTACTCATGTTTCTCTACACGGCAGAGATGATAGCAAAAATGCACATCCGGGGCATCATCAAGGTGAGTGTTGCCATGTTATGGACCCCATTGCCAAAATTGCCTTGAATATTTTTATGAACTGAATAGTATTTTCATATCAATTTCAGGGAAATCAAGCATCTGCCTATTTTACCCACATTAACGTCTCTTTAGAAAGTCATAGTTGTAGACGTTTGTGGAAATGTTATTTTTAAGAGTATTAAAATATTAAATACATTGTACAGGGTGCATAACCTTGGAATAGCTGGGAGAGAGACAATCAGTCTGCCTGTTTCGCAGAGGTGAAAAGTATGTAGATGGTGATGCTTCTGAAGTGTCTCAAAGTGTGTACTTAAGCAAGACTGACGAAATGGCAACATGGACCTCAGGGCTTGAAAAATGACACGTTTCACCCAAATCCTGTCTTGCGTACTCGCTGATTCAGGATCGTAGGGTAGCCAATTTTGATGAAAATATGCCTCGTTCTATACAAGACTTTGTCGATTTTATTGTTTCCATTTATACATATTTATTTTGTGGTCAGTGTTAGTGTGCTTAGTTTTAACTGTTTCATTGAAGATACTGTTTGATTTACATGAAAGTACTGAACCCCCATAACATTACATACTGTCTTTTTCCGAGTTATTGATCCATTAGGGAAGCATGTCTTTTGTCTTGTGTCATTTTCCAGTTTCTATGTACTACTGAGGTGTGTTTTGTTTTGACCAGAGGTGTACACAGGCATTTTCCCCTCTAAGTCTGCTGACGGCATATAAATGTCCCCTCTAGGTATTCAAACGTTTGAATATTTGCCAATGGAGGAAAGTGTGATGGGAGTATAGTTTTGATTTGTCTTTTGAAAATGATGTTGAGCATGATTTCATCTATCTAAGGACTATTTTAGAGTTATTAATATTTTTGCTCATAAAATTTTATGTATTAGAGATATTAGTCATCCGTGATTTAAGTTGCAATTACGTTCCTAATTTCTTTATGTACTTGTGTTGAACCAAGATCTGTATTTTGGTTATATAATTTTCTTTAAATGTATTTTCTCTCTTCCTGTATTCCTTCCTCCATATTTCTTATCTGTTCCTTTCTCCTTTCCTTTGATTTTTATCTTTTATATATTCTATTTTCCTTTGGAGTTCCATTCATTCTCATATTCCCTCCTGGGTACACAGCTTCCTTAGTCTTTTTAAAACTTTCTAATTATTTCCTGAGCTCTTTCCATGAGTTCCAGTTTCTTTTATATTCTTTCTACTTAACCTTTGTTCTTAAAATGCTTTTTTTCTAAATTTCTTTCTGATTCTCTCTTGAGCTCTTACATCTCTTTTCACTTGTTTATTATTTAGTCAGTATTTCTGTGCTTAACTAGTAGTAAGTTTTTGATGCTGTTGTATTTTTTTTCATTTCAAAAATTTCTTTTGGCTCATTTTATAGTATTTCAATAGGCTTTCCATTGTATTGTGTGTCGACTTATGTTATATATAGTTTTCATATGATTTGGCTTATTTTTATGTCTAGCATATTTCTAAGGGTTTGAGCAAAATCTGTTCTGATATTCTAGTTGCTTGTATGAAATAAGAGATCATTTTTCTCCCCCTGCAGAATGGGTAGAGTAGCCTTCCTGTATTATTGAAGGTTGTCTCCTCTGTTTTTATTACCAATTAACAAGGTGGCCTCTCTGTGTAACCATCTTCAAGTTCTGAGCTCTGTCTTCCCTGTGCCACTGATCTCCTATTGCCTGAAAATTCTCATTCTTCCCTGGGGTTTATACAACTCTTATCACAATCCATACATACATCAATTGTGTAAAGCACATTTGTACATTCATTGACCTCATCATCTCAAAACATTTGCTCTCCACATGATATTTTCTAAATTAAATTAAATCACTTACTTGTATAGTAGTTTATATGACACATGCATGCCAAAGTTCTAGACACAATGGCTGTCTCTACAGAAACTGCTTAAAGTTAACTAACCCAGACTCATAATGTTAATAGCAGTCAGTGTATTCAGTTATCAGCAAAAGAAAGAAATTCTGCCCACCCCACTCATCTTATTTTTTGAAAGAAATTTTTTGAAAGGGTCTTGGAATTCATGAAATTAGTGGAAAACTGGATTTTGAGTTAAAAATATGCATTTATTGAATGTAGAGTGGATGATCTAAAATGCAAACACTACACCTAATTCACAATGAAAAATTCATTTATTCAAAAGATAGTTATTAGGGAGCTCTGCAACTCCAGAAAGAAATCATCACAGCACAGGTCATGTTTAGGAACAATGTGGTGCATGCATCCACATGACTGATCCGATGAACCTAGGCCCCAAGCTTTCTCTGTCTTTGTCTTCATAAGTCGGTGTCCAAAATGCCGGGGCCAAGTATCTCCTTGATCAAGGTACATGAAGCGATGGGCATTTGTGGAGGGCGCAATCTGCAGAATATGAACAGTAAAGAGACAGAAGATAGGAATAAGGCTGGGTGTGTGCTTTAGATGTATGTATGTATGTATGTATGTATGTATGTATGTATGTATGTATGTATGAGTTGGCCCAACACTGGTCTCACAAAGTTGTTATTTCCTGATTCCCCTGTCTCTGTTGGGTTGCCTTAGTCACCATGAAAGAAATGAATGTGAAAGAGCCAATAAACCTTTGGAGTGAGTTTTACTTACCCAATTTGATAAGCCAGAGACTTGTTAATGGTGGATATAAAGAAGTAGTTTTGAAAAAGCTTTTTGGAGACTGTGAGGTAACTGCTGTAAAATGGAATAAAGATACAAATGGAGGGATTAAATTTAGGACAGAAATGGTACTTGAGCAGAACTCTCAGGGTCACAGTCTTCCTGAATAACAGTCAACTCTTGATATTCACTAACGGCCTGTCTTTAGTGCAGCAAGTGTAGGTCCCAAGAAAATGCAGCTTGATTCTAAGAAATGCTTGATTCAGACCTTGATTCTAAGTATTCATGGCTCCCTAAGAAAAAGTATTTGTTCATGGTTTGTAAGAGCACCCATTATGACTTCAAACTCTGGATTTCAGGATGTTTCTGAAGGTCTCTAGCCTAGGTATTCACAGCATGCAATTTGGGAAAGTAGAGTTGCAGGACATTGGCAGCTATCACATGTGAGAGAGAGTGCTAGAGATGTCTCTTAGAATATAGTAACTACCTGGAGTATTGTCCAACCCTATTTTGAATGTTGTGGTATCACAAGAGGGTCTTACATGACCTAGTCATTCGTGTTAATGAGCTCTCATATCGTCCAGGCTCTGCCCATGCACTGGAGGACCTGACTCTTCTGACTTTGGGTGGAAATCAGCAGTGTTGACTTTGCTAAGCCTCCAACTGAAGCGGAAACAATACATAGCATTTTCCTCAACTAAAACTTTGATTTCTTAAATAATTCAATAATGTCAGACATGAATTTCACAGCAAAATTGCAGTGGGCACTGTTTTCATTGTGACGGTCTAGTGATAAAAAGACAGAGGCTGAGTTGATGCCTGTTCATTTCAGAAGTACCGGAAGAGGCAAAAAGAAAAACCAGATTCACTGCCAGAGTGGATGTTGACTCAGAGGGGCCCTGGTGGTGACGTGGTTTCACGTGGGGTGGGATCAGTCAAGGCCGCCCTCTGGACCTCCCTGCTGCTCCTCAGGAGTGAGATGGGGCTGCCCACTCCCATTAGCAGTTCTGGTCTCTGAGCCTCACAGGTGCAGTTCTCCCTGGCCCTGCAGGTCCCCATGAGTTCAAATGAACAGAATATTCAACGAACAGATCATTTAAATATTTAAATATGGGACGTTGACGCAATCTTAAAAACAAAGCAAAAACCCTTGGTTGACTGCTGGCCATGTTGCTTTCCACATTCTGTAAATGAGTCATTTCCAATATTTCCTGATTTCCATTGCCTCTTGGATGAGGAACTATTAACTACAGCCAGAAATGTTTTTCATATGTCCAGTTTGTAAAAAGTAAAAATTAATGTCAGATAAGATTTTCCTCTTTGTTTTTTCATTTAGAGATTATATACAAATCTAATAAAGTGACACTCTATTCCTAACAATATCCTGAAGTAATCACCATAGTTTCCTATCTCATTAAAATCGGTATTCAGAGTTTGTATGCTCACCGAGGCTTGATAAATTGGATTATATGAGGAATAATTATTTTGAGCATGTGTTATCTCCTGGAAGTTTCACTATTGTGCCTCTTCCCCCAATGTCAGGAAACTATTAATATAATCATTGAACCTATTTTATTAATATAGTTATAGAACATGTTTCTGCAAACATGTATGTTCTAACAGGGGCAACAATTTAACAGCAAATCCAATTCGAGACTACATACTGCATTTTAGTATTATAAGTTTCTACTGATGACGCAGCATCGCTTACTATCACAGTTATTGTTTTCACTTAGCAAACCTGGGCTAAGCAGCAGCCAGGCACTATGGAGTCAATTCCAACCCCTGGGGACCGCCTGGGTTTAAGAAGAGAGCTGGGCTCTACAGGGCAGAGGTTCTCAACCTTCCTCATGCCGCCACCCTTGCATATAGTTCCTCATGTTGTGGTGACCCCCAACCATAACATTATTTTCGTTGCTACTGCATCACTGTCATTTTGCTACTGTTCTGAATCGGGGGACCCCGGTGAAAGGGTCGTTCAACCCCCAAAGGGGTTGCAACCCACAGGTTGAGAGCCGCTGCTGTAGGGTCTGCAGAACCATGACCTTTGGAAGGAGATCAACAGATCTTTCTTCCACGGCACCGCTGGGTGAGTTTAACCCACGAGCCTTTTGTTGAATGAAACTTGCACTTTGGGCTTCATTTTTGGGAAAAGTCACCTGTCACCTTAAATAGAGAATTAATGTTGCAGGTTTCATATTTTCATATTTTGCTTTATTTTATTGATACATGAGAAATATAGACATGATACTGGCATTTAGGTTGAATCATAATGAAAGCACATTGCTCACATAGTGGTGTATGGTTTATAATGAGTCCTAGTGGCATAGTTCATCGGTTTGAAACGAC